CTGGTTCCTCCGCAATTCAGCCTCTGGCTGCAAGGGAGGAAATTGGCACCAACTATCTATCTATCTATCTTCTTCCTTGACAAAATTCATACTTGAGGTAACTGACAAATGGTTAAAAGGCCTTGAGATGAGAGCATCTCATTTTGTCATTGTTTTTTTCTGAACCAGGCATTTGAACCTATCGCTAAAGTAGCTGGTGAAATAGTCAAGAAAAATGGATTAAGTGACAAGATTTCAGTCATTGGAAAGCGTTCAACTGAATTAACTGTAGGAAAAGGTAAGCTGACATCTCTAAAACCCAACTTTTAGTGTTAGTGATGTGGTAGAACTTTCACTTTATGTGGAAAAAAATTAACATCCCAAACCAAGGGTTTATTTAACGTATCCAACAGGAGGGCAACTGGTTTTTGGCAGGTTGGCAAAACTCTTTGAACTGAACTTCTCTATACAAAATTAAAACTTATCACTAGATGGTCAAAACAGGAGGGCAAAATCATTCTCACAGCTGGTCAATTTGCCCAATACCTCAGCCCTAATCAGGAAACCCCATTCAAACCATTAAGTCCCATTTCAGATCCTCCAGAAGAAGATTCGCCAAATAATATTCTTGATCCTTCTCTTATTCAAGCAGCTTTTGTATGTGATGGCTTTTTTATCTTTTCATCTGCCATGTTAATCCCATCCCTCGAGTCCCAAGTGCAGACAGTTGGGTTAGGAGGAAGTCAAATGATATTAAAAATTTTCCTCCAAGGTCACCTCTCTAGACCAGTAACTTTTTCCTAATTAACTCTATCTGCAAGCTATCTATTTGACAGCTTCTAGAAGTCATCACATTGTAAGCATTACTTTTGAAATCCTTAGTCTGTCAAAAGCCTAATGTTATGTTAATTATTTTTTTTGAACAGATGGAGATGCACAAGGTAGAGCTAATTTACTGGTAACAGAACTATGGGACACAGAGCTAATTGGTGAAGGAGCTCTACCAACTCTACGAGATGCTTGCAGTCGACTTCTTGAGGTTAGGAGTTNGTGAAATAGTCAAGAAAAATGGATTAAGTGACAAGATTTCAGTCATTGGAAAGCGTTCAACTGAATTAACAGTAGGAAAAGGTAAGCTGACATCTCTAAAACCCGACTTCTAGTGTTAGTGATGTGTTAGAAGTTTCACTTTATGTGGAAAAAATTAACATCCCAAACAGGGGTTTATTTAACGTATCCAGCGGGAGGGCGACTGGTTTTCGCAGGTGGACAAAACTCTTTCAACTGAACTTGTCTATAAGTTATTACAACTTATCACTAGATGGTCAAACCAGGAGGGCAAAATCATCCTCACAGCTGGTCCATTTGCCCAGTGTCCCAGCTTTAATCATGAAACCACTACCAAACCACAAAGTACCCTTTCAGATCCTCCAGAAAAAGATTTGCCAAATAATAATCTTGCTCTTTCTCTTATTTAAGCAGCTTTTGTATGTGATAGCCGGTTTTTTCCTTTTTGTCTGCAATGATAATCCCATCCCTTGAGTCCCAAGTGCAGACAGTTGGGTCAAGAGGAAGTGAAATGATATTATAAATTTCCACCAAGGTCACCTCTCTAGACCAGTAACTTTTAATAATTAACGCTATCATTCTGCAGGTTCTCTATTTGACAGCTTCTAGAAGTCATCACATTGTAAGCATTACTTTTGAAATCCTTAGTCTGTCAAAAGTCTAGTACTATGTCAATTATTATTTTTTTTTTTTTGAACAGATGGAGATGCACAAGGTAGAGCTAATTTATTGGTAACAGAACTATGGGACACAGAGCTAATTGGTGAAGGAGCTCTACCAACTCTACGAGATGCTTGCAGTCGACTTCTTGAGGTTAGGAGTTTTAATTTCTGCCACTTTTTGGAGAAAAAGCTGGTAATTAAATCCAAACTAGCTAGCTTAATTGATTAAGCACACTGTAAGCACACTGTAATACATGTAGCACACTGTAACAAACATGGCTTTAATCTGTAGCATGATTCAGTTTTGATCTGTGAAATTTTGTTACTTTTTTTTAGCCAGGGTTTGTGAGTGTTCCAGCTGCAGCTACAATTTATGCACAAGTTTTGGGAAGTGAGGCCCTCTGGAATATGCATCAGTTAAATCCACAACAGGTGATCAAAGATTCCAATCAGAATCAGATTCAAATGGAGATAAAAGCTATTAATAGAACTTTTATTATTAGTAACAGCAGGAAAAAGCCACTAAGCTTAGCTGGCTCATGGCAATTTGTTAGGTGGCTGTGCATGACACCTGATAGAACTTGCTGCTGCAGTCCTTTAGCTGGGTCTCTCTTTCTTCCTTCTTTTACCTTAAACTTGAAAAAAAATGATGTCCTTATTACTTCATACAGAAATGTCACAAAAACTTGGGACTTACTTTGTTTCACTTTTAGCTTATTACTTACAGAGTATTTAAGGAAAAATCCTGCTTGTTAGAAAAGCACTCAGTCTGTCTAACTAAAGGTTCAAAAATTATCACAGATTTACTCATTACTGTGTCTTATATTATTTATTAATATGTCTTTGAAAATACTTTTCAAATGAGTGAATTATGTTTTTGGCTTGTTGTCAATTTAATGACTGTTATTTACTACAGAACTGTGGTTTCATTTTTTTTTTTCCTGTTCAGATATCAGAAAACCAAGATATAACATTACCACCTAATATGGAGGAGTGCTGTGGGACGGCCAGTGCCTTTGACCTGCATGTCGATGAACTTTCTGATGAAGAAGTTCACATTTTGACTCCACCTGTCCCAGTTTTAAGGTAAGCAGATAATGAAATTTAAATTAGTCTGCGGCTGGTTAAATTGATGCATGCTTGCTTTTGCTGAGGCATAAGCATAGGTACCAGCAAAATTTCCTGGAGCTGCTCTTGATATGGATGGGTTACTCTGACAAATGATTTTTGTGCCCACCAACATCATTTTCTTCTATCATTAAATTAGTAATTTTCTCTAAGTTCAACGTGTCCTTGCTTGGTCTTCTTCACCTCATTTCCATTTTTAAGGTGATGTCAAATTCATTGTTTTATGAGTGTAAACAATCTGTTTCAATTATGCCTCCTCCCTTCCTCCTTACCTTTGCCTGCCTCACTGTGTCAAGCTGTGCCGTGCTGTGCCATGCCTTGCTGTGGCATGCCCTGTCATGCTGTATTGTGTCATGCTGTGCCATGCTGTGCCGTGCCTTTTCTTTTCATCTCATTCTCTTCCCTTCCCTTTACTCCCCTTCGATTCCATTCCCAACCACCTCCTTCCCTCCCATCCCTTCCTGTCCTTTCCTCCCTTTCTTCTCCTTCCCTTTCTTTTTTCCATATCCTTTCCTTTTCTTCCCTTTTCTCCTCTTCCTTTCCTTTCCTTTCCATTCCATTCCTTTCAGTGCCACCCACTTGACTTCCTTGTCTCCTTTAAAATACAATGTTAAATTACCCAATCATTAAATTTCTCCCTGCAGGTTTGACTTCTGTGGTAGTTGTACCTCTACAAATTCGGACTGCACAAACAGGGTCTCTATTCCAGAGACTAAAAACAAAATCCACAGTGATAAAACAGTGTCCCAATATTGTGCCCAAACATCTGTAAAACAGACCGGCATTGCTCATGGAGTGGTCATGTGGTGGACATTGGATATGGACATTGATGGTGAAGTTACCCTGACAACTGCACCACGTTGGTCCCACCCTGATAGTAATGACAGACCGGTAAGATTGTGGCAACTGTTATTTTGTTGTAGTAGTAGTAGATTCCTAATGTACAAACAAGGGCCACTCAACATGG